CTAATAGTAAACCGGAAATATTATTTTAATAATATTAACCAACAGCAAAAAATCGAACTAAATGGCAATTTTCTTTAAAACATTTGGAGCCGTTTTAAGATAATGGTGTTTAAGCACTATTGTAAATTCGAAATTTGAATCTCTTTTCTCATAAAACTATTGAATTTTCGAAAAACTTCTTTCGACGAAATTTCAAGTACTTCTAGCCACAAATGCGTAGTGTTTACAAATCCCTGGAAATATGCATATTAACGGCCTGAGAGATATTTAATAAAATACATTTGTGTAGTTTTTGAGAAAACAAATGAATACAGCAAAATTAATTCCATGTCATCTTAAACAGTTCAATTAGCCCTATCTGTTGAAAAAGTTTGAAAAAAATTAGAGCCTTTTTTGAAAAAAATGACGTTTGAGCGTTTCTGAAAATCCAGAATTTTGAGCGCATTTGCACAGAAAACTTTTGAGTTGGCGAAAAACTTTATCTCACATTATTTAAAGCATATGTACTCATAAAAAATTGAAAAAGTCAAAATGTTCCTAAGGTTTCATGTAAAGTACAGCCAAATTTTGAAGAATGTTTTTCTAAATCTGAATCGTTAAGCTTCGACTCCAGCCAGATGGACAGGGGTTTCTTCAAGTTCAAAAATTTTACGCATGGCTTAGAGAGTAGTAGTGTTCAGACAGACGGTCAGACAGATGGACAGACGGACGGATGTTTTGAAAAAAAAACAACACTTTTTCAGTATCAGGGGGTCCCCAAAACGTGTATTTCCGATGACATCTGAAATTGATTTTCCGCAGCATTACATAACTTTTCCTATACTATGTATATTACCCCGTATATACATATGTATAGGGAGATTGTAAGTATAGGGAAAGTGCACTGTGAATGGTCCGAAATCATAAGATTAACAGAAGACAGGCAAAAATGAGGAGCACAATAACAGCGGCTTTAGCGAGAATACCCAAGAGAAACATTTAAGAAGCTGGCAGCCTGTAACCACTCCACAATATCCGTTAAGGATCACCACAGGTCGTGCTCGACCTTAGGGCATACTACTACTGGTTTAAAAAACATGAGTCCACAACAAGACATTTCTAAAAAAATCATTTTTATGACTTCTGGACGATGCTCAGTTCGTAATCAAATGCAGAATGTCGAAGGCGGTGTCCTGAAAATTTTTAGAAGAAATATAACCGCGCCTGGAATACCTTTCAAATAGCAATAAGCCTCTAACGCCCATGCAGCAGTATTTGATAGTTTTAAGGTTTTGGGCCACAGGTCATTTTCATCTTGCGGTCGGGGATTGTAATGGAATTTTGACATTCGCAGGACACTCTACCTATGCCGCACCTACACACGCGGCAATGTTTGAGGTTGTGTGATGCACAGGTCAAGGACTACGCAATCCTCTGGCACTTTTCATACATATTTCGATTTTCACTCGACATTGTCATATACTATGTTGAATCAAACACTTTACTGAATACGATGCTAACTGTGCTAAATGTTGGGGATGAATCTGAAAATAACAAAAATCCCGGTTTTCAAATCAAATTCCCGTTTTCCCCCGGTTCTTCTAGTTAAAACAAAATACCGTTAGTTCCCTGGTTTTCAAGGATTCCATGTTCGCTGTCCACCCTGAAGGAATTATATGCAGAACAGTAAAATAACTAGGCGTTAAATAAACGCCTAAAATAAATACCCGAAACCTCAAGAGAAAGATCAGTCAATGGCACCATTACAAAACAGAAGCATTTCGAACAACAGGACATTACGAAAAGAGAAGACTACTTAGTAGCAGAGGCAAAGAAGACGCAAGAATCGGAAGCTCCACAAGGAGACCGCACGCAATGAGATCTTCGGCGCAGGACCGTGCTAGGAGCGGAAGCGGGCGTGGGCGGGGACGTGACAAGACGGGGGGGGGGCGACTCGAGCGGCGCGATCGATGGACACGCGTGTGCGTGTGAGAGGCACCCTGCCGCCGGCGTCTCTCCCGCCCCCTCTGCCACACACGCGCGCACTTTATCGCATTCTCAAGCGGGAGGCGACGCCGCGATAAGGTGCTTGCGTCGGCGGCGGCGGCGCTAGGGTGAAGGGGTGGCGCTGACGGTGGTGGTGCCGACGGCAGGTGTAGGACCTGGGACGAGGGCGGCGTCAGGGTACAAGGCGGGGACGGTCGCCGAGGAGTGGGCTGCGGTGGCAGGTGTGAGGGCGAGGGCGAGGGCGAGGGCGAGGGCGAGGGCGAGGCGAGGCAGAGGGCGAGGCGAGGGCGAGGCGGGAGGGCGAGGGCGAGGGCGAGGCGAGGGTGGGCGGGCTCGGCAGTTGGGAGAGCGAGGGAGAAGGGCTGCGGCCGAGTACGCGACCGAGGATCAATGAACGACCCGACGCCTGCCGCCCCCATCGCCGCCTCAATGAACGCTGCCGGCGCGACACACGGCCCCGCGCCGCGCCCCCGAGCGTGAGATCGATTCCAGCTGGGCAAAAGTCGAACGTGTGACTGCGAAAACGAAGGTTTCGAACGCATCATCTTCTCAATGGAGTCAATGGTCCGCGAAATCGGTAACAGCAAATAATTTCCCTGGCGATTTTTCCATAAAACACATAAAACTTCAAAGCCCGTTACTGCTTCTTTACATTCCTTCTTTTCTTTCCTGTTGTTGTTGTTGTTGTTGTTGTTGGTGGTGGTGGTGGTGGTGTGGGTAGTGATGGTGGACGTTGTGTGCTTGCAATGTAGTGTAATTAAGATTTTTGAATGCTGAAAGTGATTTATGACGACGAGAGACGTTATAAGAATATCCTCTGTTTGCCTTGAGATATAATTAGGTATGTTTAAACAAAAAAACGAACACTGTATGGGAATGGTTATGTTATATGATTACTTATTCCTCTGTGTTGAACAATGTAGTATGCTTCATTATGTTACTTGCAGTAGTAAGACTTAGTAGAGAGAGATCTCACAAGAAAATAGTGGCAAAAATGAGAGTGTTCAGAAGAATGAAGTGAGAAGTGGATGACGGGAAGGAAAAGAAATAACGAGACTTCATTACAATTACATACCCATAACGAGGCTTCAAGAGCAAATGTTGGTAGAACAGCGCGAGTTAAGCGCTTCGCAGAAAAACCACTAAGCAGCCTTATATAGCAGAAAAGAAAAGCTGATGAATATGGAATGTATTATCACTCTAAATACTTCAAACAGAAGAGGGCGATCAAAGCCAATTCCTAAGACATGATGCAATTCAACAATCAATGCGGCAATGACTGATAAGGTATTTAAAACAATAAGAAATTGATTAAGTACATCGAATATAAGAAAATAATTTTGTTTCGTTTTAGATGTTTTTTATTTATTTTTCAGTTCTCAAGCCACTTAGCAATTCAGAATTAATGAAAGGTACTGATCATATTATCTACCGCGTTGCGGTTTACCCGCGCCTTCCACAAACACAAGGTCAAAATTTGCATGCCTGTCGCAGAATTAGATCCCACAACCTGTCGTACCACAAAATCTATTGCCGCTGCACACTTGTGATGTGAGAATTATTTATTCCGATATGAAATAATTAATTTTAAAAATAGAAAATTATAATTGATTGTCAATAATATAAGGAACCCTTCAGTTCTACCAACCTACAATAACAATCATAACTTTCTATAATATAACATTCAGATGCAGCGATTCGTATCAATTATTTTTGTCTCGCAAGAATTCCATTCCGGCCCAGTGCCCGCAGGCCTCTTCACTGTCGCCTGCTGGCGCTGGGCGCTCGACCTGTTGGGTGGAGTTGGCGGGGCGGGGTCAGACAGGCCGGGGATAAGGGCAAGGGCAGGTGCAGCACGCGAATGCATCGCGGGTGGGCGTAGATGAACTGAGGCGGGTAAAGGACGAAAGGGGCACACATTACCAGTCGGAAAGGGCAAAGGCCGCCCGCCATAAAATACACGAATAGGCAAGGTCAGGGCAGGGAAGGGCAAAAGGAGGCGCGCGCTCAGGTCAGTGACGCGACTAAACAGACTAAGAGGTTACGCAGGCGCGGATTGTGATATAATTGAGAGTACAGAACTACTGAGCATTCGTAAACCTGTGAGGAAGACACAAGAGCTATGTTATTGCTGTAGAAGTCTGATAACAGAAATACATGAGAGGGCGAATAGTGTTGTCTTCAAAATATTTTTTTTATATTGTCGAACATTTTCATTTCTCTTTTAAGACCTGAAATAATGGCAATCGATTTATAACTTACTTTCAACAACTCCAAGCATGTATAGTACACTGATAAATATTACACTATTCGATACTTAAAGAAAATATTGAATCTATTGAGGAAAATGGGTGAATTTACGTTTTGAAAGATAATCCTGAGACTGATTTTCTCGTAGCTTTTTAGATACATTCGAAAACAATTTTTGTTCCACCCTCTTACATTGCTTTTTTTATAGTTACTGAGACGTCAGATTAATGAGGCATTAGAATGTCGTTACTTCAACTAAACTAAAAATAAACTAAATTACCTAACCAATTCACCCTCAGAGCGAGAAGGTTTCAAATCTTACTTGCCTACACAAGATAAATAATGCTCTTTCTGAGGTTGTACTAAGCAGGGAGAAAATACATTTCAATATTTCAACAACCCAATTTAATAATCGTTCATATTATGAAAATACTCGACGATATTTTAATAATAACTATATTCTTTGACGAAATAATTTGATGAGGAATCATGGCACTTATTTCAAGCAGTATTCATTTCTTAGCACCAAAATACTTTAATTCGTAACATCTGCAATAATATTACGAACTTTGTCGGAAGATTAAGGAATATATTCCAAAACCTGAGAACCGATTAGATGCAGAAAGAAAAGAACATTGACCATAAGTCAGTAAAGTATTATAAGTATATTATGTATTGTACGATATGAGGAGAAAAAATCGTTCAATATTTTTCTCCAGTTTACCCCACACAGCTACTCTGTGTGGTACATTCTATCATCTCACCTTGATGAGGCTGGCGGCGATGCTGGAGCAGGGCGAGACCACGGTCTTCAGACAGCGGTCGTGCACCACGAAGTTGCAAACTGCAACATACACAATATGAGTTAGATGCATGAGTTAACACATACATAACGAAGGAATAGGACAGCTAACTTTATAGTGTTTTTACAGAAATAATTATCAAATACTATTGAACATTTTAAATTAAAATCCACGAACAGATAGATATGAGGGGGGAAATGCTCTAGCAAAAGGTTTAGATTGTACATCAAGTACAATACTAATGAGTTTTCTACCGTTACGTGTTAGTTTGTTTTTTTAATATACAAATATTAAGGTAATTCAAGGAAAGTCATAAATAGCCTTAACACTTTATTTATTTAAGTAGTATAATCAATTAAAAAATTCGATACAAACTTCAAATTCCATGGAAAATGCATGTTAGTCACTTTTAATTTAAGTTCCACTTGGTACACACTTAAAATATTGGTTCAATATTTTTATCGGTGTGTGATTTATTATTTTACGACGATAAACAATCACGCTCTATAAATACTGTGCAAAGAAATTACTTCATTTGAGATTTACCAAAAGTTCGTAGTATATTAAGAAGGTTTATAAGGTTAATTAAAAATTACCAGAACGTTCCAAACATGTGGTTTACTCTTAGCTGTGATTTCAGCTGAGCGTTCTTTCTACGTTGAGCAATTTTAGAATCAGGATAAAAAAAATCCGTGCGCTTTATGGTGATTGCAAAGCAGTCTCTCATTCATAAAAGAGAGACTTGATATTCTAAGAGATGAAAATCAAACGTCGAAATATTACCCTTACACAATGATGTATGGAGATGAAATAAGCAGAATCCAGAGACGTAATCTGGATGAGGGAGATAACTTATTGGGAAAAGTCAAATCTCAAGTTAAAAATAATCACCATTTCAGTTCAAAAAAGGATACATTGTCCCTGAAGAGTATTCAATAACATCTCGCTACACTAACATTAAGCATATTTTTAACATAGTTTATTAGAAATTAAAATATTATTGTAAATTATTAGAAATTATTGTAGAGAAAATTATTAACTGGAATATTGTGCAGTCGTTTATACCTGATTTAATAACCAGAAAAAAATCAATTTCGCGAAAAAAGAGCCACAACCGGTTTCGAGAGAGGGGGAGTTCCCCAAATGACCTCCACCACTCGTCTAGCCCCTCCCCTGGAGACATTACGGTGTCCGGGCGCAGGGCCGTGCTGTGGCGGCGAATCGCGCTCAGCCGAGCAGGGAGCGCCGGCGCGGGGGCGGGACGCAGTGAGCAGCCGCCGCCCGTGACCCAGTGCCCCGCGTCGCCGCCCCCGCGCAACCGCCCCCCGCGCCGCGCCGCGCCGCGCCGCGCCCCGCCGCGCCTCGCCGCGCGAGCGCATGGGACACGCAACGATCGTCTGGCTGCCGCGCTCGTCGCGCCAGGCGCAGGGTGGGAAAGCGATGCCCTCTCGCTGTTATGGCATTGGTTGGGCATGTGGCAAAGGTGCAAGGAGCGAAGGCTGTTATTGCCGTATTTGCCACTACACTGGGGACCAAAAATGGCGGCTCAAGGTCATTTCCTTGGTCTCCTCACTCATCCTTGTGTGGGCCATCGGACCGTCATTTGCGCGTCAACAGCAATCATGATCGTGATAATCTCTGCGCACTTAGGCGGGGGCGGTGATCACGAGTGTAAACCGCACAATAGAGTTAAGAACCAAAACACTTATCGCATCCGTCGAGGGCACCCACAGTTAGGAAATAAACCAAAAGTTATGTATGATTGTATTCACAACCCTGAAAAACATGTATGTTGAACAGGTAGACAATAAATGTAAAAAAAAAAAAGAGTTAAGAACCGCCAAATTGTTTCCTATAAAAAGGTGGTAGCATTGGAGGGGGGAAATAGGTTCCCGCATGGGTCATGGAACAAGTTTGGCAAACATGTTTCGAATTAGTTGACTAATTAGTTGTCACGTAATTCGGAGAGCTAATACGCAAATACCTAGAAGAAGGAATATCAGAATTACAGGCATTGAAGACTTTCGCCTACAATATGCAACATGAGCCATTTTGTCTATTTGCGGACAGAAGCTAATACAATAAGTTAGTGAGAGAACTACACTGTTCATATGTTATGTCATGTGTGTGGTCACTATCATGTAAAGCTGCCGGGAAAAGCTTGCAGAGGGAAAATTGGGATGAATTCTTTTGTAATTGAGATTAATGAGACTGTAATAGAGAAGCAGTTTTGATGATTTTCAGTCTACGAAGTTCAACTGCCTCTGACGAGTTAAGGATCAACGTAATTAGGAAATTAGAGAACTGGCCAACAATTAATATAGTTCTCAAAAAAACATGACAGTCATTTTTATTTTCCCGTATACATACGTATAAACGGAGAAATACACAGAGTATAGTGAGTGTTATGTAATGCTGGCCGAACAAACGGCGGATCCTAAATGTTTTGTGGATCCTTATTACCGAAAAACCATTTGACGGCAAAACTTCCATTCGTCAGTCAAAGAACACCACTAGCGCCTAAACCAATAAACAATTTTTTCCAAAATGGATATTTCTCGGATCATCTGGCTCTACTCCAAGAGCCGCGATTTTGAACTTTCTTCAAAATTTGGGGGTACTTTACATGAAGCCTACCGGACAGTTTCAAAATTTTCTCAAAAACCGCTCAAATTTTTTTCTTTAAATTTCTTGTAAGAATATAGTAAAATAAGCTTATAAAGATGGCAAATGTCAGATTTTCAGAGTTAACTCTAAATTTTTGCATTTTTTGCGGCGTCTTTCTACAACTACAAAACTGAAGATAGAGAAGTTTCCTTCAAAAACAATTTGTTCTCCATAGTGAGTTCTTTCAATACGGTCATGCAGATCTTTTTAAAAAAATTAGTCGTTTTCACGCAATATTGCGTACAATATGTGCAATTTAAAAAAATAAAAAACAAGATTTTCTCAAAAACGGATCCACTTTTTCTTTAAACTTTTGGTAGGGATAGTGTTAAATGTACTTTTCCAGGTGACATAAACGACATGCTCCTCTATTCTTTTTTTAATGAAAAAATGTTATTTCGACTTTCCTCTTACGTCGCTTGTATTTCCACTAGCGGCGATATGCTTGCTTTATTATATTCATGAGTACATTAGCTTTAAATAAAGTCATATACAATTTGCCGAAAACTCGCAGTTTTCTGTGAAAACGTGCTCAAAATTCCGCATTTTCAGAAACGCCAAACACCATTTTCTCATAAATGACTCCACATTTTTTCTTCAAACTTTTCGAACGAAAAGTGCTTATTGAATTCTTTAATATGACGTTAAGTTCATTTTGGGTGATTTTTTTAAAATCACTCAAATGTAATTTTTTTATAGATCTCTCACACCATTAATATGCAAATTTGCAAACACTATTGTATTTATAAGTAGGTGGACTTCAAATGACTTCTGATTAACTTTTTCGAAAACTCAAAAATTTTCTGTGAAAAAGAGCTTAAAATTTCGAATTCATAGAAGCGCTTTAACAACATTTTCTTCATAAGGCTCCAATTTTTAAAGAAAATTGCCGTTTACGCCGAGGATTTACAACTCTTTAATATTCTTAAAATAATATTTCAGTTCTATTATTAAAAAACCGACAATTAAGAAAATGTTTAAAAAATGCACTTTGGGCGGCGATAGATGGCAGCTAACAAGAGAATGGCATGTCCGAATAGTCAGACCAAAGGAAATAGATAATGGATAGGCGAAAGTCTGTGTCATTCTGTAGCACCACTAGTTTAAATGTCGGTTTTGCACATTGTCGACTCTAATTTAATACAAAAATATATTTCGTCTTCTACCAATGTCATAATCCTTGAGGTCTATCATTTCAGAGTTGATGTCCTCTGTTTTGACACTTAAACATATTTCATTTTGTCAATGTTTTAATAAACTTCCTTTTACTGTCACAATAGTCACCCTGAAAAGGGAGTAGCTGTGTAAGATGAAAATAAAAGCTTTTAAAGGAAACAAGGTGCCAATTTTGAGCAATGATTTTGAGAAAAATAGTCTAACAGATTTCCATCAATCAAATCTCTTCTTCTCTTCCCAAAAAGCAAAAATTGTCTTTCACATTACTTTTAATTTTTTAAAAGATCTTAATATGTATATTTTAAAATAAAACAATTTTCGGTTTAAAAAATCCTTTTTCCTGCAATACAATTTTTTAAGCATTTTAATTTCAAAGAGGAATTTTAAAAAAGTAGTAAATGGTTCAAAGAGTAAATCAGCTCTCTATTGCAATTCGCACCCGCGCCTCTTGGTTTACACACAGTTGCACTGATCTCTGACTGACCACTACATCCTATGCTTGGAACAGTTTTTTGTGTCTGTGTATTGCCGTGTGAGGTGACACTTCATTATGTTATACATTTTTTCTTAACAATATTTCTGTGAGTTTCAAAACGTAATTTCTATGGAGCTTGGATCTACGAAAATATTATCATAAATATAAATTTTTGTTTTAAATATTGTTTACTTTTTAGACTTTTTGAAGATTAAAAATTCATTATTAAATCAAAAAATAGTTTATTAACTTAGATGAACTGGTATAAGAAGATATAATATCGTATTTTGTGGTCATGTTAGTTTCATACAACAGAATTGACGGAAAAGTGGAACAGAATTTAGGTATTCGGAAAAGAATAAAATATTGAACTAGTGGGGTTACGAAATGGCACAGACTTTCTCGTACCATTTAGTTTCCCTTTCTTTTGAGTCAGTAACTTTTCGGTTTTCCCAATCCTTTCCGGCTGTCAATTATCGTCGCCTAAAAGACATACCAGGGCCTTCCGTGGTAAGTATCTGGGGACATTTCCCGGAATCCGGCTACCTGGTGCGCTCAGAACGAAATGTTGAGATAGCTCTTAGAAGCATCTCGTTTCTATAACCATATATATGACCGTGACCCGCAATCTGAATGTAGAGAGCCCGTTTCTAGATACACACACCGATTGTATTCAGATCTTACGTATTTACCAGTCAGGGCAAGAGATTACGCAAGGATTAG